GATCAGGCGTTGGACTATCACGTGCTGCTCAAACTGTTTTTCTCCTGAATCTCCACTGGTTTTAAATAGAAACGCTGCAGTTTCACCTGCTGCACCAGTGCAACCAGTCACTGCATTCATAAAACCTCCGAATACACTTTTCTTAAATGTTGCTTCAGTCAAACGCCCTCTGTGTTCTGAGGGGGTGCAAAGCAGCGTCTCCTCCCTCCTCTGGTCCAATCATGACTCAGGTTCAGCTGCTTATTCTGCAGAAATGCTTCAAAATCTGGGAAATGTTCAATCCCAGAAGGACACACAGAGAAACTATAAACTTTAGATTTTATTAGATCTGCTCTTGTTTTTATGTATAATTTATGCTCTGTGGTAGAAATAACACATTTGTCCACTGACTTATAGGGCTTTAAAATTTAAAACTGATTCATTAAAACAACAACAATGATATCATGTAGTGTAACTTTGAGACACAAGAGGGAAACATTGTACACTCGTTTCTGGATGCTGGTGAAGGTTCTCAGTCGTCCAGGTCATTGTAAACCAAAGGGTTCAGATGAAAGCAGCTGGACGAAGCTCCTCGGAAGAGAAGCAAAACTTCTTCAAAAAAAAAAACAAAGAAGTCCAGTTGCCTTCATTCATTTCTGGACAGATCTGGGAATTCTGGGGTAAACACGTGGAAATGTAAATGACTCTTATTGGCTAAAACATCTAAAAGAAAGTTTACATGAAGTGGTTAAATCTTCAGTCTCGCTAAATGACAAATCATCTAGAAATGTTCACCCCCTTTTTCAAATGAACTTCAAAATCCCTCAAATTTGCATCATTTTCTAACAAATCCAGGTAATCAAACACAAGAGTGTCAGTTATAGGACTTGTGATGGTTTAAAACAGACAAAAATCCTCACGTTTGCTGAGTTTTAATTTTAATTTCACAGATTATTGGAAAATTACCTGAAAAGGTTGTAGAAAGCCAAATCAAGTTTGCTGAACACGTGTGACACCTTTCCAGTCTGGTCTTCAAAAACATCCTTACACCGAGACCGCTGCAGGTCTTCACTGATCTTTTTACGCGACGGTGGCACAGGAGTTAAGCGCTCGCCCCGTAATCGGAAGGTTGCAGGTTCGAGCCCAGCTCAGTCTGTCGCTGTCGTTGTGTCCTTGGGCAAGACACTTAACCCACGTTGCCTGCTGGTGGTGGGCGGAGGGACCGGTGGCGCCAGTGCTCGGCAACCTCGCCTCTGTCAGTGCGCCCCAGGGCAGCTGTGGCTACATTGTAGCTCATCCCCACCAGTGTGTGAATGTGTGTGTGAATGGGTGAATAACTGGTTGTGTTGTAAAGCGCCTTGGGGGGTTCCAGGACTCTAGAAGGCGCTATATCAAATACAGGCCATTTACCATAATGGCTTCAGTTCTGTGACCACATTACTGAATCTCGGAGCAGCCTTTGAGGCAGACATCTCTGGTTCTCTTCTTCTTTTTGTGATTGAACCTTTTCTGTCCACGAAAACCATCTGGGGTCCCCCTAGGTTCAGTCTTAGGCTCATTATTGGACACCTCCCTGGTGAGGTTTTCCGGGCACGTCCAACCGGGAGGAGACCTAAAGGTAGACCCAGGACACGGTGGAGGGACTAACCACTGCGCCACTGCGCAGCCCTTCTTAGTTTATATTAATGTAAAGTAAGTTAGTCCTGTGTGATTTTCTGAAGGTGCTTTATACATAAAGTTGTTTTTGAATGGATTGGCTGGTCCTTTCATCTGACTTAGAGATAATTATTTATGCTCGTGCCACAATGTTTAGATTGATGCAATGTTCACTGGCCTAGATAAATAATCTCTTTCACGCCTTCAATCAAAACAAAATGCTGCAGCTGACCCAACATGAGTTCCCACATCTCTCCTATAATTTGCTCCCTGTGAAAGAAGCTCAAAGGAGCAATAAGTAAGACATTTAAAATGTGTGTTTTCTCCTTCCAAAATGGTCAAAGAGGGATGTTATCTTTTATTTTTACAATCTGTGAGCCCATGAGGTTGCCGAGTGTGCTCCAGCTGAGGCTGCAGCACCAGTGTTTGTAATTCAACACCGGCAGGGAAAAGGTTCCAGAGTTGTTTAAAGATCCTAAGCCAGTAAACAAGAGCGACCCAGAAGCTATTTCCTGTACCCCTAAAAAGCTACAGCATCTTTTGGTTCAATCTAATATTGGGTGAAGCAGGCTAGAGGCTAACACTGAGCTAACAAAGCTAAGGGTGAATTAGATGCAAACGATCGGCTCAAAAAAAAAAAACTCAAGCCACTTTTTCATTTACCAACAACTCCATATGACAGTGACATGTTTGTGTGATGTGAATAATGAGTCAGTCGTCGTGTTTTACTTCCTTTAATGAGTCGTTCAGACTTATAACAGCAAGTTAACAGGACGACGGCAAACTAATGCACTTCCTCTGATGCTGGATTACTGCAATAAGTGTAGTAAGTGCCGTAAAACACAAGAGTGCTAGCATCAGATATGACAACGCATCTGCTTATCTATGTGTGACTCATCTTTGTCATCTAGAATCTTCTGCTGCTGATTGGCAACAGCCATGAAACTCACGCAACGGTAGTGAGAAAGTGATTTTTTTTTGTTTAGAAAAAAGGACCACAGTGGTCAAATTTGACCACAGGATGTCGTTTTTAACTTAATTATTACATATTGCACCTTTAACAAATCAACGTGTCTTTTTATAAAGTTTGTGCAAATGCCCCCAAACTACATCAAACTTTGCTTTTACATTTTCTTGCTTCAAACAACAACAAATAAATCCTCTTCTGAAAAACTTCCCTGTGATGATTCATCTTCCTGTTTTTCACTGAATAAGCTTTAATCCCAGAATCGTTTGCCAGACAACTTTGCTCCATAATCTTTGAACATAATTTCTGTCATTTACAGTAAATATTGTCTTCATTTCACTGTGATAAAGCTGCTTCTCATCATGCTAGTGAGAGGACACCATAGATGTGAAACATGATGTGAGTTTAGCTTTATCTTTAGTCACTCCCTCTAATAAAGTAAAAAAACTCAGTCTGTCATCACTGAATGTACAGAATGCCACCTGTGCAGGAACGACTATAAAGATGAAAGAGAACAGGCTGCAGCTTTGTGTTTGGGGGGTTTCCTCCTTGTGGAGGGGTTCATCGGCTTGAACACTGCTGCTAACCATTTAATCCTTCTCCCTCTCCTGAATAACATTGTACTTTCTTTGATATTGAATGTGCTACTACTAGTGTACGCGTTTAATTATAGATTCACTAGGATGAATACAATAAAGTTTATCTCTAACCAAGTAGAATATTTACTAAGACATCACAATGTAACCACAGAAACACTACTTGGTATATATGTTGTGTGTATGGGTGTGTGTGTTTGTGTGTGGGTGGGCTGGTGTGTGTGTGTGTGTGTGTGTGCGTGTGTCTGCTCTGTCTTCTCAATCCCCAGTGAGTCAATCAATCAATCAATCAATCAATCAAAGCTTTATTTATAAAGCGCCTTCCTGTCGGGAAGCCCAAGGCGCTGAACACGGTACATGAGAAAAGTGAAATATGATGAAGAAATCGAAAATAAAAGCAATTCAAATACTACAATAAAAGGTAAAACATTCTAGTAGAAGACAAATGGGTAAAACAAGGGATAGAGAGACCAATGAAAACAGGGAAATAAAATCAACATAAAAGAGGGCCAAATTCAAACACGTTCAGGGAACGCCAAGCGGAGGAGGTGGGTTTTTAGGCGACTCTTAAAGACTGGCAGAGATGGGGACAGCCTAACTGAGGGTGGCAACTGGTTCCAGAGTAACAGTGCTAGGACTGAGAAAGCCCGGTCCCCGCGAGTACGACACTTAGAACGAGGGACAGCGAGCAGACCTTGGTCAGAGGTGCGTAGAGCGCATGATGGGGAGTGTCTGTTCAGGAGTGTGAATAGATAGGGGAGAGCACCACCCTGGAAGAAATTGTAAACAAAGAGGAGGAGTTTAAAGTGTGAACGATAACAAACCAGAAGCCAGTGCAAGGAGGCCAGAACCGGACTGATGTGGTCCCGTTTCCTGGTCCCAGTCAGGAACCTGGCTGTGCTGTTCTGCACAACCTGTAGGCGACGCAGTGATGACTGACACAACCCTGCATAGAGAGAGTTGCACTAATCAAGCCTAGAAATAACAAATGCATGGAGTACCCGCCGCAGGTGGGCTCTCGACAGCATAGGCTTGATATTTGCAAGGCGTCTCAGGTGAAAGAAACTGGACCAGATCACAGAGTTGATGTGAGCATCAAATTTAAGTCCAGTGTCAATTTTCTCCCCCAGACTGGTGACAACTGGTTTTGAATAGGGGGAAAGACTGGATAGGACTGGACTGGATAGAGTGACCTTTCTCCTGACACAATGGAGAGTAAATCTGGCAATCGTCAGCATAGAGATGGAACGCTAGGCCATGTTTACGAAAGATTGATCCCAGAGGAAGCAGATAGATTGCAAACAAAAGATGACCAAGGATCGATCCCTGCGGGACCCCCCAGCAGAGCCCCTCCCAAGAAGAAAAAACATCACCCAGTTTAACACAGAATGTCCTGTTGTGGAGATACGATCTAAACCAATCCAGAGCTGACCCTTTGATCCCAACCCATCGTTCCAAGTGGTCAAGTAGAATCGTGTGGTCAACCGTGTCAAAAGCTTCCGTCAGGTCTAACAACAGAAGCACCACAGATGCACCCTGATCTAGTTAAAAAGTACCGAATTCGGTACTCATCCCTAATCACAGGAGACATAAAGTCTGCTAAACCATCTTTAATCTGACTGCCTTTTATCTGACTGCTGGTCCATCCGCAAGATGGACACTTCAAGATTTAAAAAAATCGTTCTTAATAAATTATTTTCACTGTTTATTACAAAGTTCATAAATAATCATCATGGTTCCTTATAAATGTATTTAATTACTGAAATGAATTATTATTATTTGGTTAATAAAAATTATTATTTATGATAATCAGTAATGTTTAACAGTGTAAAGAAGGTCATGTTCACTTATACACACCATGCAGGGGACAGACATCAGGGTAGAGGTAACTGCACCTCACATGTCTTTGCGCCATAAGCAAAGCTTTCTATCTCTGAGGGGGCGTGTCCTGAGGTTTTAATAAAATCAAACTCCTCAGTTCAAGCTGACAGTTCTTGAACCAACCAAAATCTCTCTGTGGCACAAGAGTCCCAGAGGATAGGGTCGGCCGCCTGAAGCCTCCACTAAGCTGTTCTGTCATGCAGATATAATTGCTCCAACAAACGCCATCTGCAACCAGCTGGCGCAAACTCCTTCAGAGTTAATTTAAGACGCAAACTCCACCTGTGTGCCTGCGGCAACTCTTGGACCAGAGACTCGGTACCACTCGGGTCTTCCCTACCGGACCGAGTACCCAGAGGCTGACAACATCCTCCCTTGACCTCCGGATCCACACAGAGGGTCATCTGAACGGTGAGGTAGAACACAGATTGCGTCCGTATGCCTGTTTCTTTAAGAGATAACTTAGCTCAGCTGCAAATCAACTCTTCCACCCAGAACACGTTTTCTCTCTGAAAGAAACCTTCTGAGATTCCATTCACACATCCAAACACACACATTACATTTTAGTCCTCATCGAGACACAAGTTGCTTTTAATACCAAGTTTTAATATCAAAGCTGTATAAATTGTCATTCATAAATTGTCATCTTTAAATTGTTAGTAATAAATTCTTAACTTTCTAAACCTGACTCTTCTTTGAAATGAAACACAGAAAGGTGCATATTTGGTTATTGAATGAGCAACGATTCCTTTTAAATATTCTGATTTAATAAATAAACTTTTGCTATTAATTAAAATTTCTTAAATTGAATATTAATCTTTGGATTAAATGTAGACCAAGCCAGTTGGTGTATGAACTTCTATCGATTGTATAAATATCCTGGATACTTAAACATGATATAAGTTTCATTTGCTAATTTGTTTGATCTTTCTCAGGATTTAGCCAAGCTGATAGCAAACAGCGTTAAATCCTAGTATGTAGATTATCTACGCCACATCTGTTTCCAGAAAACAAATCAGCAGTTATTCTCTCACTTTACCAGAACACAAGACTTTATCTGTTGCCAACTGCTGACATGATCACACAGACATTTTACCAATAACCCCTTCCTCAAAGATTCTCGGTTTTCTGGGGGCTCGTCCGGGATCGCTTTCTGTGTGTACAGACCTGGGGCACTGCTGGCTCAGGGGTTATGAGTTCACCCTGTAAATGGTGGGCTAGCAGGTTCAAACCCAGGCTCCCAACGTGTCCTTGGGCAAGACACTACACCCTCCTTGCCAGCTAATGGTCTGAGGGATGGGCGGCGCCTGTGTACAGCAGCCTAGCCTCCGCCAGTGTGTCCCAGGGCTGTGGCTAAAATAGCTCATCACCACCAGTGTGTGAATGGGTGAATGACTCGCTGTAGTGTAAAGCGCGTTGGAGCCCTCTGACTCAGAAAGGTGCTGTACAAGTCCAGGTCATTTGTCATTTACCTTTAGAATGAATCTTTTGAAAAGCTCCTATAACAGCTATAACAAGACCTGGAACCGTCCAGAAATCTTTTTTCTTTGATGCTAATGGAAAATGTTTTTGGCTCTTTTCCTGTAAATTTTAACTTGTTTACAACAGTTTTAGATGCTCAGCTGAAACAGGAAGAGACCTGCTGTGTCTCGGTGAGATTACCTGTTTAAATCAAATGCTTCCACATTAACTTGGTTAATAACTGTTAACATCGTTCTAGACGAGAGCTGGAAACAGTCGTTCATGCATGTATTACTCGAGGATTGGATCATTGCAGCTCTGCTTTACTTTGGGTTTACCAGAGAATGGAATCTCGTCTTCAGCCGGTTCAAAATGTTGCCGGAAGCTTTTAAATCAGACAAATGTGATCATGTCATCCTGGTCTCGGACACGTTTATTTGGTTATCTGTTTCTTGTTTCTTTTAGGAATCCTTTTAAACTTCCATTGTTTGTTTTTAAACGACTGAATGGCCTAGCACCTGTCCACCTGCCCCTCCACGCTCACTTAACTCAGAACTTGCTGCTGTTTTTGACCCAAAGTCACGGCTGGGGTCGAGGGGGACAGAACATTCCCAGTGGTGGGTCCTGAGCTCTGGGAAGACCTTCCTGTTCCTTTCAGAAGGCCTTCTTCCATGACGGTTTTTTAGTCTGGACTGAAAACCCACCTTTACTCTTTGGCTTTCGATTCTGTGGGATAACTGGCATTTGTTGATGCTTTTTTCTGTTTTAACAGTGATTATTTTTTCTCTTTCTCATTTTGGATTTGACGCATCTTGTCTTGTCTATGGCCATGTTTGTTCAGCACTTTGGTTGGCATCACGTTGCCGTATGTAATATATTCCACTCAAAGACATAAACAGTCATCACCCCTGTGATTAAAACAACCTCCTGCAGCATTCATTCTCACACATGCATGAAAATACATCAACCTATGCACCAAGATTATCATCTGTGTCACTTTCCACCACAGCCACCACCTATCAAACCCAGTTATTCCTCCCAGTGTCTCCTACACTCCACATTTCCCATGGAGTTGCCCTGCATAATCATCTTCACGTCTCTAGAGATCGTCGTGGCCACACTCCACTATTTACAGACCTTTTCTGCCTCCTGTGGTGTTTCTCACCATGGAGACGCATGCAGACAGCGGCAGTGCAGAGAGAGGAAGTCCTGAATTGGCCAACTAAACAACGTAATGGCATAGAGGCAGCAGATGGCTCAGATGAGCTACAAGACAGGAGGGTTGTCAGAAGGGTGGTGCGCAGAAGAAAAAACTGCAGAGGACATGAATGCATTTGAGTGTTGGTGTGAACAGGCTGGGAAGAGGAGTTGCGGGGCTGTTTTGGTGCTTGCATGCTAAATTGCACCAACAGTTTGCTGCAGGAATGCAGTAAATAACAATGTGGTGAAGCTTAAGTTGCATCATTTTAAACATGAATCAAAACATAGGAAAAGGGACAAAAAGAAGAAGAAAAACACTCTCAAGTGTAAAACAGGAACTGAAAACACACGACAAATTTCAACTGAATTTAAATTAAATCCCACTTCATTATTTTATATTCAACATCTGAAGGAGCGATAAACACTTCAGCGTTGTTCCTCAGGGCTCTATTCTTGGACCCCTTTAATTTAATTCATATATTTTTCCCCTGGGTGACGTTTTAAAAAAACACCACATTGACTACCATTTATATGCAGACGATTACCAATTATATGCCTCTGTGAAGCCTCCTTACAGCCTCCTGTTGAATGCTGCAACGATGTGAAGAACTGGCTGTCTGAAAACTTTCTTTTGCTGAACGATGCCAAGACAGAGGCTATCATTTTCAGCCCTAAGACTTCTCAAGTGGGTTGAAAACCCGTGTCACAAACTTAGGGGTTGTGATGGATGCTAAACTACAAATGGACATTCATGTCAACCAGGTAGTTAAGACCTGTTTTTACCACCTGAGGCGTCTCTCTAAAGTTAAGCCCATTTTAAAAAGGCGTCATCTCCATTCAGTTGTCCATGCCTTCATTACCTCCCGTCTCGACTACTCTAATTCAGTGCTACACGGTATCTCCTCCTCCACTCTCGCTCGCCTTCAGCTAGTGCAGAACGCAGCAGCTCGATTCTTGACCAGGCAACGAGAACACATCACACCGGTTTTAGCAAATCTCCATTGGCTCCCCCATCCATCTCCGGATAGAGTTTAAGATCCTGTTTTTTGTGTTTAAATCCCTCAATAACTTAGCACCTGGCTACTTGTCAGACCTCATTCACCCTTATGTCCCTACAAGATCCCTCCGATCAGCCAACCAGCACCTCCTCCATGTCCCTAGCTCCCACTGTAAATCCCGCGGGGAGCGCGCCTTTTCAGTTCGTGCACCTAAGCTCTGGAACCACGTGCCCCTCCTGATCAGACTCTCGTCCTCTCTTTCCCTTTTTTAGTCTCGTTTAAAAACTCACTTTTATTCTTTGGCTTTTAATTCAGTCTAACTTAGTCTCTTTCTCCTTTTCTTTTCGATTTGAATTACTCGATTTTAATGGGTTCAGTTTTTATTTTTGATCGTTTTTATTGTGTGTTTTTGTTGTGCCGTGTTTAAATGTGCTATAAAAATAAACTTGGTTTGGTTTAGAAAATTCAGTCCAAGATCGCAAATAATTATCTGCACAAGAAACAGCTGAGAGTAGACATTCAACTTTAATTCTCTAATGTGATGAAATCAAATCTCACGTAAACTCTTTCCAGGTGAAACTGTTTCAGTATATTTAAACCTTCCAAGCATCTCTGGGTTTGTTTCCCCAAAAAGTACCAAAGTGTTAAATGAAAAGTTTGCAATTTTGACATTAATCACATTTACAGAATATCTGTTAATTGACAAGGATTTAGTCGTATGTGCTTTCTGCCGGACGACCTCCTTCATGCACAAAATGTTGCTGCACTCCGAGAAAAACCAGGAATTGTCTCAGATTTTTCCAAAAGTTTCTTCTTCTCCTCCTCTTTAACAGTAGATGTGGGGGATGGGTGGAGGTGGAGAGAGGAGAGCAGCAGACCACGTCAGATGGCAGTGGGACGTCTTTGTGGAAGGAGCAGGGAAGGGAACAGTCCTGAAGAAAGGAGGACTGAATGAGAGTTAGGGAAAGTGGTGCAGCGTCTCAGAACCGTTTCCTCTTCACCTCCAGAGTCTCCAAACATCACGTAAGTAAAAGAAAACGCACAACTTTTGTCATTTAATGAAACTTTGTAGTTGATTTGAAGTTGTTCTCTCTGCAAAATACTTGTCTTTATGTCCATCTGACTGTGATTTTCAGAATCCTGAGTTTCACACCAGTATGTATTGGGACCTTGAGACCGTTAGATCCAAAGCTGTTTTTAACTAAGTCTCAAGTGAGCTGGTATTGTCTTTTTAATCTGTCTTTTACACATGTCCACACAGCCGTCCTCACTGGCCGCCCCCACTCTTATACCACAGCCTCTTGTCCTTGGAAGTGCAGGAAGGGTCCGCCAGCCACCCATGGAGCTTTCTGTCTCATGCACATTGCTCATTCTGAGAAGGGAAGTGGTGCTGCATCATAAACTAAACAGAACCAGACACATCTGCAGTGTTTATTTGTGCTGGGCTCAAGGACAAATGTTAGAAATGAAAGCAAGAGCAATTAATCACTCAGGTTCTCTTTAGTGAGTTTTATAAAAACAAGCAATGTGCCTTTAGAGACACGTATAAAGTTGCAAATAGATAGACGCAATAGATTCTGGGAATTAAACAGCTTCAGTGTGATTGCTTTTACTGTTGTGATGGAAGAAAGGGAACAAAATATTGCAATATTTAAAAATGATTTTAATCACTTAAATGTGATATTTTATGTACAACTCACCTTTTCCAACTTTTTGTGCTGCCAAGTGGGTCTCTGCTGCTTCTATAAACACTTCAAATGTCAAAAATCCGTCCTTCCAACTTCTGTCAGTGTTTAGTTTTAGGAACAGTTTACCTTAAATGAGTCCCTGTTTGTGACATCACAAACAGGGAAAGTTAGCATAGAACCAACTCTTATTTGAGCTGCTGCTGGAGGAGCAGCGGCTCTACACAGAGCCCTTCCCAGCTATCGGAGCTTCTCAGCTTATAGCAGCGTGAGCTGGGGAAGGGTGGGCGTGGCCAGCTCCAGTTTGTTTTCTTAATTTGATATGTCGTCTTTGGGGCGACGGTGGCACAGGAGTTAAGTGCTCGCCCCGTAATTGGAAGGTTGCAGGTTCGAGCCCCGCTCAGTCTTTCACTGTCGTTGTATCCTTGGGCAAGACACTTATCCCACGTTGCCAGCTGGTGGTGGTCGGAGGGACCAGTGGCGCCAGTGCTCGGCAGCCTCGCCTCTGTCAGTGCGCCCTTGGGCAGCTGTGGTTACATTATAGTTCATCCCCACCAGTGTGTGAAAGGGTGAATGACTGATTGTGTTGTAAAGTGCCTTGAGGGGTTCCAGGACTCAGGGGCGTGTCCAGGGAGTGGCTTGGGGTAGCACAAGCCACCCTTGGAATCTGATTGGCCACCCCAGGCACCACCACACTAATTTACCTTTAAATATGCTTTTCATTGTCCAAAAAGGCTTGGACGTAAAACAAAAATAGCATAACCATTGGTGCCACCCATGCACAAAGTTGTGCCTCACCTGGGCCACCCCATTTCAAAGATCTGGACACGCCACTGCCAGGACTCTAGAAGGCGCTATATCAAATACAGGCCTTTTACCATAAGATTTTGCATCGTAATCTGTATTTCTTTGTTAGCTTTATTTTTATTGTATTCCTGCACAGCACTTTGGTGACATAGGTCATGTCTGTAAAGTGCTGTATTAGTAAAGACTGAGCTGAGTTAGCGCTCATTCTGGAAGGTATTGAAAATATCAAGAAAACAACTACTAAGATTTCTTCATGTGAGATGATTATAGTGCAAAGAAAATCATAAATTTGTTTTGTATTGACCATAGAACAAATTTAACATAAGAAAAAAAGCCCTTTAATAATCTGGAATACTGGACCATCCAGTACATTTCCTGTTCAGGGCCTGAGTTGATCCTGCAGGTCATAAATGAGGTTGAGTAAACGAGTGGCAGCCACCAGATCTTTGATCAAAGGCTCTTGTCGTCCAGTGGAAACTTTTTCAGAGACAAAAAAGTTCCTTGTTTGTCATATTTTACCTGCAATCTGAACACTTGTGAAGAAGAAGCAAAAATAGGCTTAAATGTGTAAATAAAAAATAGAATCAAGTCATTTTCTTTATGCATGGAAGCCCATTCCCGCCACTCAGATAAAAAAAAAATTATCTCATAATTATGACTTAGCTTTCTCATAATAATGAGATACTATCTCTTTATTACGAGATAGTATCTCGTAATAAAGAGATAGCTAAGTCATAATTATGAGATAATAATTTTTTTTATCTGAGTGGCGGGAATGGGCTTCCATATTTATGCGTATTTGTGAGATCTGCAGGTTTTATTTGTTTTAAGAGTTAAGCAACACGTTGTCTTGATTTGTATTTAGGGCTGCACAATATATCGAAAAATTATCGTCATCGCGACAACAGGACGTGCGATAGGCCCATCGCAAAGCACGTCAAAAACGGCGATAAATGTTTGGTTCAAACATTTCCATCCGTGTCATACATCAACTTTTTGTAAACCAGCTGTTTTTTACGCAGAAGTATTATTTGATCAATCAAATGTAGCCCTTCTGATATGCGGCCAATCAGATGGGTCCGTTCACGTAATACGCCCGCCCCCTACGTAGACCCTTAGGATGGAACGCAACACCCGAACTGAGTTAGCGGCGCCGTTCCCTTGTTCGTCATGCTGGCTCAGATTAACGAACGCACTTTGTGCTGATGTTTCTGGAATCAGCGCTGCTTTCAAACGTGAACGTGAGACCGCTCGGTGTCGTTAAGCAGCTGATAATAACCGGGCTGACTCCGACACGTGCCGGTGAACCAACCCACCTTCATGTCGCTAGTGTTCCATCGGGTGGTGATGTTAGCCCCAGGCTCCGGTTAGCTTCCAGCTAAAAGGCTACAGCACTCTCCTCCCAGTCCCACCCTGCTGAAGAGGGCCTGGAAAAGTTCCCCCAGTAATATCGATATCGCAATATTAAGCACTGTTATCGAATATCGCAGGTTTTCCTAATATCGTGCAGCCCTATTTGTAGTCATGATCTGGGTAGCGGTGGTGGCAAGAGAACAAAACACAACGGCTGTCAAAAGTGAAACTATTCATCCAATGCATGAGAAAATAAACTGAAATTTGTAACTTAGACATTTTAGTGTGCTCATCTGTCCAGAACAAATGATTTATTATTCTCTTGAATTTTGACTAATTTGTGATGAAAAGTTACAGTAAAAGCCTTGAAAAATATTTTTTCTGGTACAAATAGCTCAAACTTTTTAAATGTAAGAAGTAGAAACAAGTAAAAAAGCATCAGTGTGCTTATCTTAAACCCTCCTCTTCCTACTAAATAATAAAAGCAAAAAAAAAAATCAACTATTGCTGTCGGTGGCGCCAAAAGAACCGAAACAACGCCAACATTATTCCACTCCTGTGGTTTTTAGCTTGGCCTGGATTTGCTGAACAGTTAAAATCCAGAATTCTTTACAGTTTTTCTCTTTGAGGATTTGCTGACACGTAAAATTTGAGTTTTTATGCAACAGATTTGGCTGGTTATGTTCTGTCTTTTATTCCAGATCTTCTTAGCTGGTTTTCTGCCAGGTTGACTTGTTTAAACAGCGATCTTTAGCAGCTGATGACCATTTTATTGCAGACGGACGAACGGCTAGCAAACTGACTCAAGTGTGTTTTAGAAACAGAAAATATTCTTGGATTTGGTTAAAATGTGAAGATGGCTGTTTTGTGCATCAGGCAGCAGGACGAGTCAGCTTGAGGATCAAAGGGATGGGGGGGGGGGGGGGCACAGAAAAAAACCTGTTGTTGGGAATGACGGAGTGCATTCTTGGCTAACAGCAGCGTGTTTTGGAGAGCTCAGGAGTGGAGTGAATGGGGCCGGTGTCGGCATGTCTTTGTGCAGCCTGGAGTCCCACCAGATGAAGACGGTTGATTTTATTCAAACACACACAAATAAACACACTCCCACGACCAGAGGTGGAAAGAGTACTGAAATTTCCTACTTAAGTACGAGTACCAATACTTTGATAATTTTTACTCAAGTACAAGTAAAAGTACTTGCCTGAATTTTTACTCAAGTAAAAGTAAAAAGTATCATAAATAAAATGTACTCAAAGTAAAAGTTACTTAGTTACATTTTTGTCAACGTAAGGATGGCTACATCTAAATAGTGCTAAATCACAACGCTAGATCACAATTTGCTCGTGTTTGTGTGCGCGCGCACACACACACGCACACACACACACACACACACACACACACACACACACACACACACACACACACACTGCAGCCTGTTAGAATCTTTTGAATGACTAATTAAACTACATTAAGCTACTTTTGTAATAATTTAATCTCTTATTCTGGAGTAAAATAAAGAAACAAGCTAAATCATCACATATCTGTGGCATCAAGAAGCATCTTCTGAGTTCAAACACAGGGATGGAGCACAATGTTTACACCTGAACAGCATCAGGATGTTTTAACTCACAGAGGCCTGCAGGTCTTCTGTTTTTTTGAGCAAAACGCTGAGAATCCGCTCGTTATGAGCGCTAAACGTTATTTTGCCGCTGCCGTGCGGAGCGGTAGAGAAACACGTTTCAAACACGGAACCGAGTCCGGCTACCGAACCCAGCAGAATTCTGATGACGTCACACCGGTGCGTGAAGGTGCGGGTTCCAAACCACAGGGGAGGAGGTAATCACCAAGTGGATCACAGGGACTGAACTGATGTTTTTGAGCAAAGCTGCAATAAAAATGGCTGTTTGTCCTCATTATCAAAAGTTTACCCCCCCCCCCACGGTTTAGACGTGGCGCTCATGCAGGTGTCTCTTTCTGTTCCGACGCTGCTACACGTAATAGCTTTAATTTATCAAGCCTATAATTTATTTTTACTCAGTAATGGAAATGATTTAAAATGTAGCGAATTACAATTCTTTTTTTAAAAGGTACTCAAGTAAAAGTAAAAGTACAGATTTCAAAAACGACTTAAAAAGTATAATAACACAAAAAAGCTACTCGATTACAGTAACGTGAGTA